AAAAAAAAAAAAAAAAGAATTCGCATTAGAATATACCACAATATTCTATTTTCTCTAATCAAATTTTATTTTTAGATTTTTCAAGATCACGTACGTATATAATTGAGTTAGAAATAATCGTTGGAAAACATTTGTAAATAACTTTGAAAAGAAACTCGTTTTTAGTTAACGGATGAAAAAATTATTGCGAAATGAAACGCAAGTGCGAATGTAACGCAAGATCATAAATATTTATGAGAAATTTATTTTCAAATTTTGGTTACGATGTAGCCGCTAGGGTGTAGCGTGCCGTGATAGGAAGTTTAAATTTTATACTTCGCTCCGACTATTTTTCCAATTCCAGGAAGTCGAATCGTTCACTTCTGTGTTTTATGCGTATAATAAAAAGGTTGTGTGGAGCAATTCAATCTGACAGGACGCGAATGGATTTGTTGCAGGTGGCGAAGCTGTTCTCGTACACGTGGACTATGGGCCTGTTTCTATGCAAGTCGGTCCACTATATGCAGAGCGTCTCGGCTATTTGCTCGGTCGTCACGTTAACCGCAATGTCGATCGAAAGGTAAACCTCGTGACGTTATAACGTGCTCTACGCCATTTTTTTTAAATTTATCTGCATCGTGTTCGCGAGTAAATCGAAGGTAAAATATTTTTTTTTTTCGAATTGAAAAGATAATAGATTAAATCGACCCGAAGAACGAGCGATGATAATTCTACATCGAAATGTTTCTCTTATTAAATTGAGTATCATTTTTTAACTATTTAAAAAAATTTAGAAATATTTGAGAAAATTCTGTTCTATTTTTTTAGTATTTTCTATGGTGAGCGTATTTTACGCGTAGAAAGGGATCGAGGCAAATTTTTTTAAAAAAATTCTTGCATTCTTACATACGTGCTTTAATCTTAAAGGAGATATACCGTTGAAGAATTAAAAGTCGAGGAACCCAGCACTGCTCGAGAACGTGCAGTTTCGCTTAATTGATGCGCTTAAACGAGTTCTCAGAAATTCAATTTTATTTATAGCTCCCCACGGATACGTTTTCCCCCGATGAACCGCGAAAACGTCTTTCCTTTCAGAATCCTTCAATTCTTCCGCATATGCTATAATTTTAATCGCTTTCGTTTTCTCGGAATTCTAATATTTTTCTCGAAATTAACCTGGCACGCGCGAATTTTAAATTTCGCAAAGATGGAAGTGTTGATAAATAAGTGGTAAATAACGAGCATATTTTGAAATGGAGAAAGAAAAAGAAAAAAGGACAAAGTTAGACAAAGTTTTTTGGATTATAAAGGAAGTAGCATAAGTGGAATTCTTTATTACTTACGATTGAAAATCCGATTGAAAAAATTAATTGATCACTTTGCTATCTACATTAATTACTTAATTCTTCTTATCTCGACTCACGATCGTCTCTACATTTACATTTCATTTTATAATTCAAACAAAACGATTACCAACTATTTTAACGAATTTTTATTCTGTTCTTGCGCGTTCAATTTATATACCTGTACAGCGGTAATCGACATAAAAGTCCATCTTAGAATTCCTATCCCAGCCGAAAGAATTTTCCATTCAACTTCACGTTAAAGAAGAATTCTCTGGTTCGAAACACAGAAGTCCATCCGGAATTCATCGCCCGCTTTTTTCTTTTCAACGCCCTTCGAAGAAAGTTGGCGCAAGAACATGAATCGTCCCTTCCATTTCAGATCGGATTGGGAGCGATTCGAGATTGGGAAGCCTCCCTTTTATCTCCTTCGATTCTCTCGTTGCGAGAAATTATCCTCCCCTTTTATTGATAGATAGAGTAGGATTGGACGAGATATCTCGCGTTTTATATTCCATCGTTGCACACCATCGATGAGATATAACGAGATTTATTATTTGTATCCGTCAATTCTTTATTTATCTTTTTTGGCTCGTTACAAAATAGCGAGAAAAAAATCGTAGATCGATTTCTTGAGAGCTCGTTGCAAAGGAGAAACTTGTCTCTTCAAAATGATTGAAAACAAAACTTCGAGAAATAATTTTTAAACCCCATAGAATCGTTTGAATTCAAAGAAAAAAAGACAACTTTAGTTTTTTCACTTTGTACTACGACAAAAAGCAACGTTTTAAAAAATAAAATTCTATCTATGTAAAAGGAGAGG